GTAAAGTACAGCTGACTGAAGCATTTCTAAGTAGATGCAGTTAACTCCTGAAATAATCTCTAAGTTTATAAATATAATTCCTTTTCTCAAGGAGAAACAGAGGATCAGTTTAAATCAAAACATAAAATCTTAACATTAACAGTATAATAACCTTAGGAATACTGGAGTGGGTAGCCATTCCCTTCCCCAGGAGATCTTCCCAACCCAGGGATCAAAGTAACATCTCCTGCATTGGCAGGCAAATTCCTTACCACTGAATCAGGAGGGAACCTTTAGCAATATTAGCCTTAAACTACAAGAGATATAAATGGCTATATTCATATACCTTGCATACTTCAGTCATCAAAGGAGCTAAACATTTAATTCTAGCTTCTTTGTTTCCTTTTCTCTGCTTTTAAAGAAGCAAAGAGAGATGAAGTCCAATTAAGATTTTGTATGGGATTATTACCAACCAGTGATAATGGATTCAGTGAGTGGTCAAGGTATTCTGATCAGCTCTCTATCATATATCCATATACCCACTATAATGTTGACTCGATAAAGGCAGGAACCAAATGTGGCACATAGTAGTCATTCAAAATATATATGTTGGATGAAAAATTCATGAAATCCATAGGGCAGGGATCTTTAATGTGAAACTCTTGGAAATGCTTCAGGGTATATGTAAACTACCTAAAAGTATATGTTATGGCATGTGATATAAGTATTCATGTACTGAGGTTAATTTTCTGAGGAGTGAACCAACAGACTGCACGACATTTTCTTATATTGATGACATTTAAAAACCAAAATCAAAAATGTTATGGATCTTTGCCAAGAAGCTGCCACTAACCTAACCTGCATATGTTGCCTCTCACCTTCTCAACACTAAACATTTTTTAATACATTTACATTTAACACATTTAGTACATTTTTTAATTAACAGGTTGTCAAGTGTTTTCTTTTAGACCAGTAGAAGGTTTCCCTAACCACTTGGAACAGAAATGAGTATAAAAGCAACCATCACATACCACTATCATATAACGTATCTTCCAGGAAACATACAGAAGAGACATCATGCTTGGCAGTTTGGGAATCATGCTGGGCTGGGGCAAAGTGTACTTGCAAGAAAACACAAAGACATCTTTTATTTGAAGCCAGAGCAAAATAGATGGCATTTTTATAGTATCTTCATTTCTCTGCATCATTCTAAGACATAGAAAAGTTACTCAATTGAAATATAAAAGTCTGAACTCAATAAAAGCAGACACCAAAAATTCAAAGGAGACCCACAAGGGTAGAACACACAGAATGGATGTTAAGAGGAGAAGTGAGGTGGAGAGTTTTCCCCAAATATCCTGATATACAGTAGTGATAAAAATCACAGCAATGATGATAGTCAACACAACTGACAGTTAAAACCCTTTAGAAGAATCTAAACATTCTCACATGGACATGTCGAGCTGGCACAACACTGCTGTTTTACAGGCAAGATGTGGGGGCTCAGAAATTTAAGTCTTGTTCATGTCACAGTGATTAAATGGGGAGATTAAGGCATGTGCACATCTCCCACTTCTAAATGCTGCTTTTTCATATCACATTTTCCTTCAGATGATAAAATAATAGATAGGCCTTTCTTCTATCTAATTTCTGGATATGTTGGCAATTATTCATTGAAATTCATAAAAGCCAAGGCACTAAAGTCAATTTATTATTATTTCTATGCACATGAAATTAATGTGTTGGTTGATAAGGGTAAATTAGTACGTGGAAAACATCAAGGGAAGTAGCAAAATAAGATACTTGGCATTAGGGTTCTTTGAAGCTATTTTAAAAAGTAAAATGCTATGTTAAGAGCTATGTGGTGTCTGTGTGTGTGTGTAATTATTATTCTATTGATTTACTGCACATATGTCAAAGAGCATCTGGGCATCTGTACAAGTTAAAACAAATCTATCCAGGAGCCAAGCCACATAGCCACAAACCCAGACAACTTGCCTCCCCTCTTGTCCCACCCTTCAACCTACCACCTCCCAAATGCAAACTGCATGGTGTTAAAAGCCTTCCTTATGGAGATGAACAGTTGAGTCAGTGGCATCTGTCACTTTCACCATATTCTAAAAGAGAAGCCAAAGATAGCTAATGGCAAAGGTTTTCCAGAGTGCCAGAAGGCCTCTTCCCATTCTAGAGAAAGTCGTCTTCTCTTTCGGCAAGAGTGTTCAGTAAACACTCAGGCATCTACCTGGAAGGAGCTATCACTATAACCTCTTCTAAGGATGAAAACCATACCTTTCACAGGAATGTAAACTCAGTTCTTTCCTTGTAGGGCACAAGGAAACATCTTACCTACTGAATACTCACCCACTAACCCACATTAGGTAGGGAGACTCTTATTTTCCTCTGTTTTGCCAAGAAGCAGGAAAATCACTTTAATGTACTTTACTGGGCTGCCAAAAATCCTCTGCCTATGATCCAACAATTATAGCTAATTTCAACCTAAATTGCTTCCTCTAAGAGATGGATACCATTAGATAACTCTTTCCATTTCCATTTATGAAGACTTTAAAAAAAGAAAAAAGGCAAAAGAAAATTCCTTGTATGTTTCCAGCTGATAAAATCATTAATCTCACACTCCCAACTTCAAAGGAGAAAATCAAAAAATCATCTCACTTTCTCTACACACGGAGAATAATTTTTTCTACTTCAAAGTGCCGTCTCTTTATTGGGTCATTTTAATTATTGAATGTGGGATGGAAGCTACCCAGATAATGTCACCACTGTCTTTTTCATGAAATATATATAGGTCTAATTTGAACTACATTAATTCGAGAGATGCAAAATACAAGGGGAAAGAATAAGAAAAGGGAAAGAGGCTGGGGAATAGAGCACTCATCAACACAAGGCAGTGAAAGGAAGATAGTAAGTTTTTCTAAGCTGACTTTTCTCAGTCTTTCCTCCTGGAGGGGAACTATCAAGAAGCCTGGGCCATATCTCAACAGACTGCCTTGCATCTTAAGTTTCCTTCTACCCAATATACAGCAATAGTAACTTTATTAGTAGTGATAGTATTACTGTCAATGTGAGACAACTGTGATACAATCTGTTGCTGTGTGAACAACCACTTTAAAGAAAAGCTTGTGATCATAGAAAGGAGGTTAGCAAATCTGGCCCTGTTCAGAGTAAGACTGTTAAGAGAGAAGACAAGCCAGGCATGCAAATTCCCAATTGATCGTCTCACCAAGAAATCACACACCATAAATGGCAAACTTTTTCTGTAAAGGACCAGAGAGTAAATATTTTCAGCACAAAAGCAACCAAAGACAGCACATAGATGAAAGAGTATGGTTGTGTTCTAATAAAACTTTACAACATCAGGCAGAGGGCAGCATTTGTCCCAATAAGCCAATAGACAAGTGCTACATGGAAATGTTCTATAGCTGTGCTGTCCCATACACTAGTCTCTAACTACATATGACTATTAAATACATGAAAACTGGCTAGTGTGACTGAGAAGCTACAGTCTAAATTTAACTGCACTTTAATTAATCTAGATTTGAATAGACCCATGTGCCTTGTGGCTATAGTATTAGACAGCATAGTTCTATAGGATTAGATAGCATAGTTCTATAGTATATATTATACTATATAGTAATAATATATACTATATATTACTATAATAATATAGTATTAGACAGCATAGTTCTAAGTTCACTGCTATTCACTGCTGTTTCCTCAAATATTATACAAGTCAACCTTCAATTAAGGTATAGTTCACATGTATGCCTTAAAAATTTAAATACCCAAGCTTCTACATTACAGTCGAACTATACACAACTAAAAATGATATTTCTTAAATGTAAAATATCTACATCATTGAGGCCAAAATGACAGTTTTGGCTTGAAGCTACCAATTAGCTGCCTACTGACCAATGAAGTCCATAGACCGATCAGGTCCATGCCAAGACCCTATCCAACCTGGAGCCTGTCTCCTTTCTCCTCTGTACATTCTCCTGCACCTTGACTGAGGGCACAGATCTGCTCTATGGCCCCAGTAACTCCTACAGAAAATCCAAACTTCCCCAAAGACCCCAAAATGTATACATGCAAAGACATGGCTTCGAGAGCACAAGAAACAACATGCAACTCAAGTAGATTGCCTTCTAAAGTAATCCATGTAAAACAGTGCCTCAACACAAAAATGAGGGAGATTCACTGTATTCTCTGTTATTGACTCCATGTAATAATTTATATTCTAGTAACTGTTTTATTTACATAATAACTAGCTCGTGTTTTGCATTTCTCAGCAGACCCAAAGATATAATTAAAGGAGAAGAAGCAAGAAAGTAGGATACCAACAAGGATTTAGCTTTTTTTTTCTAAGTATGAATAAGAAATAAAAACAAAAAATCACATTTCATTTAAGAAACTGTGTGAATAAGTTGAAACAATATCAACTTTCTTCAAAGGGTAAAATACTCTTGAAATCTGAGGACTCTCTTCAGGAAGTAAGAAACGTAAGGGTGCCAGGAGTGAAGCCTACACAGATACACTGTACAGGAAGGTAGAGGACATTCTGATGCTTTTATGATTTTTGATAAAATGAAACCATTTAAGGTACAATCATTATCTGTGGTTCCAACATCCAAAAATAAAACTACAAAAAATGAAAAAAAAAGAAGAAAAGCAAACTGTGAAGCAAACTCCCTTGGTGGCACAACCTAACACAAATCAATAGGAGGTTTCTTATATAAACTTTAATTATTTTACTTAAGTGTAAAAAAAATTTTCTCTGCATAATTATTCATATATTTGCTTATGGGATATTGCTGCAACCCCACTAGGAGTGTTAGACAATCTGTGATACATGCAACAGATCTTACCTTTCCAAAATCCCCAAGTTATCTGATATCCAAGATGTACCTGGCCCCAAGGATTTGGATAAGGGAGTCTTCTAATGAAAGCTGTTTGGGTAGGATATTTGCTGTCAATTCAATGTCTACTGTCCTGAAACAGCACCTTACCTCAGTCTGAAGAATGGCAGCTCTCTGTTCTTTGGCAGTAAGCGACTCTTTAAGCACTTCAATGTGTTGCTTGCAATCTGAATTCTGATTGCTAAGAGTTTCAAGCTTTGTTTGTAAGGCAAGAAGTTCTGACTCTTTCTTTGAAAGCTCCTGCTTCAGCTGATCAATCTGTAAAACAATGAAATTACAAAAAATTATAAGTCACATCTCCTTCTCTTTACATTTGAGGACTACTGAATTCTCTTAAATTTTCAAGAGCTAGTGGTCATTAATCCAACATGGCAGACCATGAGCTTAAAAATACGGCCTTGGGAGTCACTTAGTCTTAGGGGTCTGGGGAGGATCTTCAGAGGCGACTGACAATAGAAAACAGGAAAGGTAAAGTCCACAAGATGCTTTCTATCTTCCACACCACTGAGAACCAAGGTTCACAATGGAATGAAGGCTTCCTGGCAAAACCCACAACTCATCCAAGAAAAAATAAGGTCTACTGACCATGGTCCTCAGAAGGGTCAACAGGGAGCTAACAAAGGTAATTACCCAAACAGAACCTGGACCTTCTCTGATACTACACAATAGAAATGATCATCAGGAGCATCATTCGACAGAAGAGAACCCTCACCCCCAGAAAGAAGCACTGAGGGATCTTTTCTCTAACATTACATATTAAAAAGATAAAAAAGAACATAAAAAATACATAAAAGAGAAAAATAATACAACATCCATTATTCAATTACTTAAAAATATCACTAGAACTATCCATATCCCAACCCATTTCTATTTCCTTTCCCTCCCTTGAAACAATCACCACCCTAAATTTTGTGTTCATCTTTTTCTTATTTGTCTTTCAAGCTTACCTTGTTTTTTTGCACCTGTAAATTCTATACTATTTAATTTCGCATGGTTTTTAACTTTATTTGCACTGTTTTTTTTTTCTTTTTTAGCTTTTTGCTTTTTTTCTACTCAATCTAATATCTTCAAGATTAAATCAAGTTACTGTTTGTACAATGTGTTCACTTTCATTTTCATTAAAGTACAAGCTTGCTCCTTGGAAGAAAAGCTATGACCAACACAGACAGTAGACTAAAAAGCAGAGACATTACTTTACCAACAAAGGTCCACCTAGTCAAAGCTATGGTTTTTCCAGTAGTCATGTATGGATATGAGAGTTGGACTATAAAGAAAGCTGAGCACTGAAGAATTGATGCTTTTGAACTGTGGTGTTGGAGAAGACTCTTGAGAATCCCTTGGACTGCAAGGAGATCCAACCAGTCCATCCTAAAGGAAATCAGTCCTGAATATTCATCAGAAGGACTGATGCTGAAGTTGAAACTCCAATACTTTGGCCATCTGATGCGAAGGGTTGACTCATTTGAAAAGGCCCTGATGCTGGGAAAGATTGAAGGCAGGAGGAGAAGGGGATGACAGAGGATGAGATGGTTGGATGGCATCACCGACTTGATGGACATGAGTTTGAGTAGGTTCCGGGAGTTAGTGATGGACAGGGAAGCCTGGCATGCTGCAGTCCATGGGGTCGCAGAGTCAGAATTACTGAGTGACTGAACTGAACTGAACAGTATTCCGCTGTAAGATTTCATCAAAATGTATTTGTCTACTGTGCGGTTAACAGAAATTTGGGCTTATTTCCAGGTTTGCTATTATGAAAAATGCTATTCTGAAGATTCTTATACATACTGCCTGGTACACACTGTAAAAAATAATCTAGGAGTTAAACAGCTGGAACACAGAGTAAATAGCTGGGGCACAGCTTCGTATTCACTAGATAACATTAAGTATTTTCTAATGGACTTAATTTCTATGGTCACAAGCAGTGTGTAAATGTGCCAATCACTCCATGTCTTTGCAATATCATATGTCATTGGAGTTTTACATTTTGGCCAGTCTGGTAGGAGTTATGGTAGAAGACCTCCAGAAATGACTGCCACCAATTTCTTCATACTTACACACATATGCCATTCCTCACAACTAAAGGAGTCTATTTACCCTCCTCTTGAGCATGGACTGGACTGTGACTTGTTTCAGCTAGCAAAATGCAGAACAAATGTCAGTATGTGTGTTCTAGCCTCTAGGAGAACTAGCAGCTTTAGCTTCCTCTCACTGGAAGCTAACCACCAAGGCAGAAGTCCAATCGCCCTGTGACCACTTGGCTGTGAAGAAGTCTATGCCAGCCACACTATCAAGCCACGCAGAAAGACAGAAAGGAATTTTTCTGATATTCCTGGTGGAACTTGTGGCTTCTGTCTTGTTCCTGGTCTTAAAGGGAAGAATTTCAATGTTTCATCATTAAGCTCGGTGTTTGCTTTAGCTTTTTAAAGGCATTCAAGTTTCAGAAAGTTCCCTTTTATTACAACTCTGCCAAGAATTGATTTTTTTTTAATCATTAAGGAATGCTTAATATTATCAAGCATTTTTCTTGCACCTCGTGATTTATCACATTTTCACCTTTAATATATTATAATAAATTATATTAATGGGTTTTTAAAATATTACTCTCCATGCATTACTGTGAAAAATTCCACATCGTCATAATGCATTATTATTTTTATATATTACTGGATTTCCCTTGCTAATATTTTGTCATCATTTCTACATTTATGGGCAAGACTGATTTGTAATTTTCCTATCTTGTGCTATCTTTATCAAGTTTTAGCATCAATTTAGCCTTCCAAATAAAGTAGGTAGTGTTCACTCTTTTAGTGTGTTCTGAAATGATTTGTGTAAAACTGAAAAATTTTTTTTCACTAAAGTTCATTAAAAATCACCCAAAAAACCATCCAGAGCTGGCATTTTCTTTCTCCAAAGACCATTCCTTATTTCATCCATCTTTAATGATTATAGGAATATCTATGTTTCTAATTATGTGAATCAATTTTGCTAAGTTGTTTTCATTAAAAAACTTTCATCTAAATTTTCACCCTGTTGGCATGAAGTTTTCATAAAATTCATTTATATTTGATATTATGGTATCTATGAGTATCTTTTTTCATTCCTAGTATTTTTATTCTTAATTATTTTCTTGATGAATCTCAGCAGAAGCATGTCCCATTAAATAACCTCTTCAAAGAGCCAATTTTGGTTCTGTTGATCATCCAACATTTTTATTTTCTATTTCATTAGTTTTGGCTCTAATTTTAAAATTATTTTCTTCTTAATACTTTCCTTGGGTTTATTCTATTTTCTTTTCCTAAGCTTAAGTTGGAATATTACCTCACTAATTTTCATTCTTTTTTCTTTTCATGTATGAGCCTTAAGAGTATATATTTTCCTGTCAGTATCATTTTAGCTCACACTCTCTAGTTTGATATACCTTGACATTATTGTACAGCCTTAAATATTTTCCAATCTCCATTATTATCCCTTGACCCATGAATAACTTAAAAGTATGTTTCTTAATCTCCAAATGAGTGTTTCCTAGTTCTCTCTCTTTTTTTTTTATGTCTTACTTCTTCGTGAGTAGAGAACATGGTCTGTTCTACAGTATTCATTTGAAATTTGGTGTTATCTTGCTTTATGCACAATATGTAGTCAGTAATCATAAATGCATTCTGTATACTATTTGCTTAAAAAGATTATGGATCCAACAACTGTTGGCTGTAATATTCCATATATGTGCATGACATCTGATTACACTTTTATTTTTAGAACATTTCCATCATCTTAATATGAAACTCTGTAAGTAAAAAAAGTCATTCTTCATCCCTCATCCTCTACACCTAGCCCTAGGCAACCAATAATCTACATTATCTCTATGGATTGGCCTTTTCTGGGAATCTCATATAAATGCACTCTTCAATATATGTATTTTGTCACTGGCTTCTGTAACATAGCAGAACATTTCAAGTTTCATCCATATAGCATGTATAAATACTTCATTGCTCTTTATAGTTGAGTAATATTTCACTGTATGAATATACATAATTGTTTCTATCCATTCACCAGTTGATGGACACCTAAGTTGTTTCCACGTTTTGACTATTAATAATGCTGCTAAGACCATTCACGTTCAAGTGTGTGGAGACATATGTTTTCATTTCTCTTGGATATAAACTCAGGTGTGAAACTGCTAGGTCACATGGTAACTATGTTTAGCTTTCCGAAGAGTTTCTAGCTGTTTTACAAACTGACTATACCATTTTTTTTTTCATTTATCTTTATTAGTTGGAGGCTAATTACTTTACAATATTGTAGTGGTTTTTGTCATCCATTGACATGAATCATCCATGGATTTACATGTATTCCCCTTCCCAATCCCCCCTCCCACCTCCCTCTCTATGAGAAACATGAGGGTTCTAACTTCTTTAAAACCTCACCAGTACTTGTTGTCATCTGTCTTTTCACTCATCACCATTCCAGTGAGTATAAAGTGGTTATCTCCTTATGGTTTTGCTTTCTCTAATGATTAAGATGCTATCAAACATCTTTTTGCATACTTATTAGACATTCATAGATCTCCTCTGGACAAATGTTCTGTTAAGACTTTTTCTTTGCCTCTAAGATCTTATGTCTTTATTTTGATGAAAATAGAGAAATTTCATTTTATTTACCCTATTTTGGGTATTTGAAGACTTCTGAATTTATAGACTGATACCTGTGAAAATTCTCAGCTTTTATCTCTTTTATCTCTTCAAATATGGCTTCTGTCCCTATTCCATCTCTCTTTCCTCAAGAATTTGGGTTAGATTTGTCCTAGATCTTCTTATTCTATCTTCTATGCATCTTTAATGTTTTCTACCTTTTTACCCTTTACTTAATTTCTTCTGCCCTATTTTCTAGTCTATTAAGTTTCTCTTCTGTTATGACCACTCTAAGATTAAATGTATTTCTCAAACTTTTAAATTTCCATTTTTATATTTTTCCATTTCTAGGTCATTTTATTTGCTTCTTTTTAAATTTCCTTGGTATTTTTTATAGCCTCTTGCCCTTTAGCCATATTTTCAACTCCTTCTTTTATTTAACATGTTAAACATACTTATTTCATAGTGTTTGTCTCAAAATTTCAATTTCTGAAGTCTTTCTCTTCTAATTCTGCTGTTAATTCTTTCTACTGGCTTTTGCTTATGGTGGCTTGCTTTCTTGAAGGTTCTGTAATTTTTTTAAATTTTTACTCACATGTTTTGGAACTTTCTCTGGAGAAAAATACTGAGGGG